ATTATTTTTAGCGCATTTAAATAAAAGCTTGTTTAAAAAATAATTTTAATTTATTTCAAATAATTTACGAACAGATTTAAACGTAACATCACGAAATATTAGCCCAAGCTTATTTCAGTTCATTACTAACTTAATAGCGACGTCCTTACTGGTTGAGTCATTGTGGAGATTAGCGTACACAAACGAAGAGACATACAAATAAAAAACCGGCCAAGAGCGTGTCGGACCACGCTCAGTTTAGGGTTCCGTAGTTTCACGTCCGTCACAATAAATGTTCCCAGTTATGAGTTTAAAGCGTGGGTATCCATAATATTCGCGCTCCAGCAGCGCCCGCGCTTCTGCAACTGCTCCCGGTAGTGGGTACTGTTGTTTCCATCCAAGTTCAAAATGATTTTCCTAGAAAGTCCTTATAAAGTTCTACTTTTCAGAATTTTTTCATATTTTCTAAACTTATGGTTCAAAAGTTAGAGGGGGGGGACACATTGTTTTTTACTTTTGGAGCGATTATTTCCGAAATTATTGACATTATCAAAAATGATTTTAGTAAACCCCTATTCATTTTTAAATACCTTTCCAACAATATATCACACGTTAGGGTTGAAATTTAAAAAAAAATTACTTCCTACTTTACATATAGGGGGGGTTACCCTAATAAAACATTTTTTTCCATATTTTATTTCACCACTTTGTCGGCGTGATTGATACACATATTGGTACCAAATTTCAGCTTTCTAGTGCTAACGGTCACAGAGATTAAGCGAGGACGGACAGACGGACAGACAGACATGGCGAAACTATAAGGGTCCCTAGTTGACTACGGAACCCTAAAAAATGTTTATGATTTTATTGTATGTATAGCTGATCAGAATCGAACCTAAACTTTTGGATAGTCAGGCTTCAGTTTAGTTGCATAGAGTAATACATTTCCCTTGCACAATTTACACTCAAACTGTAATCTAGCATTAATGTAATCAAGGATACGTACGAGTTCTGAATAATCAAAGGTAAATAAGTCCGATGTTACCTCAATACACAATTTTCTACTGATCACTGGGGTATGAGAAACCGTCAAATTGTTTAATTACATTACATTGAAATCCCTCCCTACAACTCTCTTAGAAATGGGAGAAGTTCTGTGCTCAGAAGTAGCACTTTACTTAACATTGACATCTGAAAAAAATTCGTGGGCATTTTTGAAATTATTTAATATAATTTAGAAATTATGATTGATATACACGGTAGAGCTATGCTGCAGCTACATTACGGAGTGGGGTAGCATCACGCTCTCACAGAATACAAGCATAAAAAAGTAGCTCAATGCTTTTTAGTTTTAGTGAACCGGAGACCCTTTTTACAGGACAGGAAGCATTCCATCTTAGTTCTCAGTGACGACAACGCATCTGCATTCGGATTCTTCTTTCTTGGATTTTTTTTTTTTTGCGCCTGAAGCAATTAAAGGGCTACCCTGTACGTAGGGAGGCGGAAAATGCATTACGCATACCACGATAGCCGGTCAATCGTGGTTATGGGGGACTCACTGTCCTACCGGGGACCCTAAGTGATACCCCCTAAAGACCGCCTTTGGGGACAGGCAACCGGCTGATTAAGCTCTATTGTGCCTTATCATGAGCGACCCTCTTTTGGGAAAAGAGGGCGCAGGCGGCTAAGTGCCGCTGAGGGAGTGCCTACGAAGGCAAATTAATGTCAGATATTACAATAATTTTATTTAATTAGAGTTGGCCTGAGCCGCCAGGAGACAGTTCAGGTCGTTTGAAAGTTTATTAGGCGGGTCCGAGAGAGAGTTTCTCGGCCTGCGGACACGATAGCGAGAGGGGGGTGGGGCTGCATAAGAAGCTGCCTCACGAATTAAATGGTTTGGGTGCGACTCTGAGGCTTTGAAGAAGTTCTCAGAGAGTTTTTTAAGAAATTGTTGAATTGTTGGGAGCTCTAAGTCCCGATGAAGGTCGGCATTACGAACGTACCACGGTGCGTTCGCAGCTCGACGACAGAATAGGTTCTGAACTATTTGGAGTTCATTTAAAATGTTAGGGTTTGCGTGGGCAAAGACGGGGCCCGCGTAGGACATGACTGGTCGTATACATACCTTGTAGAGGGTACGCTTGTTTCGAAGGGACATTTTACTGTGTCGGCCCAACATACTGTTGAGCCTACTCAGATAAAATCGTGCGTGACGGGTTACTCTTTTGACGTGGGGCTTGAAAGTAAGCCCTGTGTCTAGAGTGACACCTAAATATTTGGCGGACGTATGCCAGGGGACAGGGGTCCCTAGCATACGTATTGGAGGAGTGTTTTTGAGACGGCGTCGTTTATAATCGAAGTGAACGGCGGAGCTCTTCTCCGGGTTCACATCGATGCGCCATTTTTTGAACCAAGCTCCTAGGTCATCAACTGACTTTTGGATCTTGTTCCGTATGAAGGGTAGTGAGACACCTTTGCAGTAGATGGCAGTGTCGTCTGCAAAGAGGGAGAGTTGAACACCTTTCGACGGGATGGGAATGTCGTTGGTGAACAGGATGTACAGCAGAGGAGCAAGTACTGAGCCCTGAGGGACACCAGCCTTGATAGTTCGCTGTGAAGAAAGCGTGCCTTCGTGTCTAAAACGAAAGGTACGATGTCTTAAATAGGAGGCCACGAGACGAACTAGACGATCGGGGAGACCTATTTTATAGAGCTTGTAGATGATGCCTGTGTGCCAGACTCTATCGAAAGCTTTGGCTATATCGAAGAAGACCGCGATGGTTTTATGACGTCGAGGGTAGAAACCGCTGAGGATATATTCCACAATGCGGTGAACTTGTTGGGGACATGAGTGTTTGGCTCGGAAGCCGAATTGGTGGGGGATGATGAGAGGGTCGCCGTCTGTGGGAAACAGAAAGCGCCTCATACGCGTTTGAATGACTCTTTCGAAGAGCTTGCCCATTGCCTTGAGGAGGCTAATGGGGCGATGGCTGGAGGGGAGGTTGAGAGGCTTACCTGGCTTGGGAATTCCAATCACAGTTGCCTCTTTCCACGTAGTGGGAAAATAACTAAGGTTGAAGCAGGCGTTGAAGATAATAGATAAAAAGGTTAACACCTGCTCGGGAAAGTGTTTAAGGGCTTGGTTGGAGATGCCATCCGCGCCCGGAGCCTTTTTGGGCTTAAGTCCTTTGATGAGAGATGAAATCTCATCATTGGACACAGAGATAGGTTCGGAGGCCGTGGGGGGTGAGTTCCGGCGGCGGACCTCATCCTCCACTGCCTGGACGTGTGAGTGGTCGACAGGTTGAGAACTAGGGGAGCATTGAGCGGCAATGCTATCCGCAAAGCACTCAGCCTTTTCCTCGTCCTCGAAGGCAACCGTGCCGTCGGGACGGGAGAGAGGGGGAGTGTGGGCGGAGGGCTCTAGCCATCTGATAGTACGCTGTGTGAGATGGAGAGATATGCTCCAAGATCACAACCTCGAGATTAATTTCAAAAAGACTAAACTTTTGTAATTTAGACCATACCAAAAACGCCCCTTACTTATTAACTACCAATACCTAAATATTCCCTTGGAGTCTGTTGACTCTCACTGTCTCCTGGGTATAAATATAGATGCACATTTAAATTGGAAGGAGCACATTAATAAAGTTGTCAAAAAATTATCTAGTTTTACATACGCTCTTATAGAACTTAAAAAAACCACCGACTTAAAAACAGCAACCTGTGCCTACTACGCGTACGCAGACGCCTGGATACGCTACGGTGTGGTACTTTGGGGTAACAGCATAGATGCTAACAAAGTATTTCTAATTCAGAAAAAATGTATTTGCATACTTGCAAATATCGACTCCATAAAACGTTGTAGAAATTACTTTATCAATTATAATATCCTGACATTAACATCCCTATATATATCCGAAATATGCTCACTAGTTAGAAATAATATCGACTGGTTCCCTCAATATTTTCGCCCTAAAAATTTAAGACCAAAAATAAAATTATCCACAGTTACATCAAAATTACAAATCGTAAACACCGGTCCCTATGCCATGTCAATAAAAATATATAACAAAATTCCAGAACAAATCAGAAGCATTAAAAGCATTAAAAAATTTAAAAAGGAAGTTAATACATATTTAACGAAAAAATGTTATTACTCGTTGCAGGAGTTTTTTAGTGATTGAGTAGGAAATAGGAAATTGAAACAAATAAATAATATAATATGTTCCAATTTATATTTAAGTTAATTGTAAATATTCATTAAATGATAATTTTATAATACTATAATATGAATGTAATAATAATATTAATAATTGCCTATATTTGCAGTGCCCTTGCAGGGTTCTTGTTTTGAACATTTTTTTAAATATAAGACCAAATGTACAACAAGAATAGCAAATAAATTGAATTGAAATGTAAATAATTAGAGCCTACTTTGCAATTTTTTTCTATCGAGAAAATTACATGATATCGTGTTTTCCTTTTATGCAATCCAAGGTCATATAGTTAAAAATCATATACCAAAATTTTGGTTTGTAATCTATAAAACTTAAAAAAATATGTTAAATAGAAAAACCACCAAATTTTCGAGGTATCACCTTAATCGAGGATTGATGTAGATGTCTATGGGCTATAGTATTCACTTACAATCAGGTGGGCCGTGTGTTCGTTTGTCACCCTTATTCTATGAAAGACCGTCTTAGTCGTTCTTTCACAGTCCACGGCTGTACATAGATCTCCACAGCTACGCCCTTAAGCTCTATGTTTGAATTTTCTTCTTGTTAAGTCATAGACCGATTTCTCTATTTAAGTACTTTTTATACTTTCTCGTATCCCTAGCTTAAATCATAAAAATATGACTCTATTTACTACTTTTAATACTATATTTTCAACCCCACGAAGTTATAAAAGAAAAAAGTAATGACTCTTTGTTTAAAAAATACAATAATAGGCTTTCAAGTTACAAAACGTCTTGACAATAGCAACATTAGATATAATTCCGACTAAAGGAACCACAATCAATCCAGATCCGAGATGCAACGCACTAACATTTCCCCTGCAGTAACAGTAGTGTATCCAATAATACTGTGGAACGGCGGCAGTTGTGGTGTTTGTGGTGTTAGCCCCGGCGTTAAAGTACCTGAAAAGTTTGATAATAGTTGTGTTTTAAAGAAATATATTAGAGAAATATAATTTTCCATCCGTAATATAAAAAGTTAAAGTTACAACTTTTATACGCCAGATCCCACTGTTGGGCACAGGCCTCCTCTCATTTCTGAGAGGGCAAGGGCAAGGAAATGTGTAAAGTAAAGGAAATGCGTGTTGACGAACTTCACTTGTCTTCGAAATATTTTTTATTTCTCAGATACGCAGGTTTCTTCACGATGTTTTTCTTTACTGTCGTGCACGCGGTAATCCTTACATATTTTGTTTAAATAGATAGAGCACGACACCACAAACATGCATAATAGGACTTATTCATCAAATATTATTAAGTCCATCAATTTATGCTCAACTAGACCAACGGCTCTTTTAATTATATATGAGCGTAAGAATAACATTATCATTAAAATTCTGTAATAGTCACCATAGATTGCCACAAAGAACGGCCTTGAGCCACCTGCATCCATAGATTTTTAATTTTAGTTGTAATTTTTATTTTTAGTTGTAATTAGTAAGACGCTGCTGCCTGGGTTTACTTCCCTCTGTCGCCTTATGACATCCACGGGATGTTTTTTAATATTGGGTATTCTTACAAGGCCACTATACACACGGTCGGTAGGCTAGGTCATTTGCAATTGATTACTATTCTTGTAGTTTTATGTCCAGTCTTTTCCACTCCGAGTTTTAAGTTACTATGAACAAAATTAACATAGACTAATGAGTAGCTTAGAGGGACAAATTAAATTCCATACAAGTGAAGCCTGCAAATGTAAGGTTACGGCTTACATAACATGCAAAGAAGATAAAGTTACAGTGGCTTCAACACCGAATTTTGCCGCTGATTGTTTTTTGTTTTTATGTAATAACTTTAATGACAACTCACCAGTTATAATATTACCTGCTAGTTATATATATATATATATATATATATATATATATATATATATATATATATGCATAAATACATATGGTCTCGTACTCAATGTAATCCATTGAAATGATTTATATTTACTTTGTATGATTTTTAAAACATTAAAATTTCCAACGAGGTAACATTCTTTATAGTAAATGGCTACTGCAGCACATACACCTGAAACAAACTGCAAATCTAAAAAAAGCTACAGATGCCTTAACCAATATAGAAATTTCACAGTCTGTAATTTTTTTAATTACAAACGGTAACCCAAAAAGGGTTACAAACGAGCGCACAGTCCACCTGATGGTAAGTGGATGCTGTGACACATAAACATCTACATTTATCCTCGATTAAGAATCAAAATGCAGAGGCGTTGTCACCCCTGAGGACTAAGAAGGAATGCCTCGTTTCCATTAAAAAGGATCGACGGTTCTCTACACTCACCATAGGAAACACAGCAGCACTAAGCTGCTATTTTACGCTGGTATTCTGTGAGAGCGTAGTCCTTCACCGGTCGAGCCGACCCATTTTTGGTACAACCATAACCATAACCATAACATTACTGCAGCTGCAGCTTGGCTCTACCACGTGTAGAATTTATTGGTGACAATTATATTGTCTCTGCCTTTCCTTCAAATGATAAACGATAAACTGTTATGAAAATTATTAGCCTTATAGTTGGCCTCTTAAAATATGTTTTTGGTTGGAGTTTGTTTTAATTCACAATTTAGAGTAGTGGCTTTTTAATATTTCATAAAGCCTTTTTCAAAAATAAAATCAACCCTCTTTAAAATTAAAATAAAACATTCCTTTGAGCCACCATATATTTATATCCACGATACTATTACTCCAAATCCCATTATTTTAATCCGAACAAAAATTTTACTCCCACTTTAAAATTTGCTCCTGTATTGTAAAGGTTAGCTGGCCATTAGTTTATGTGTACTCATGAATAGTTTTAAATCACGGAAGGGATCTTTATCGGACCGATTTTTATCGAATGAAAGGACATTAGAATTACTTTTCTTACGGCAATTCTCAGAAGTACGAGTATGACCGATCTTTTCGTAAATACTACAAGAAGAACTTCTGTTATCAAAAAAATATTTAAAACGTTTTTGGGGCGGTAGATTTGAATTATTTTGGGATGCAACGGGACTCGTTAACATGAATGGATGAAGCGACAGATATCAATTCTGGCACCAAGTTGCCCCAACATTGATTAACTCAACTCTAAGGAGTTTGTCACCCACGGTTCCGATAACGGCCTTCTACATCATCACTGTTTTCAAGTTTGTATTTCGTGACGCATCTCCATAGAAGCCATGGCCGAACCAAGAACTCTGCGATATCTTTAGAAGAGTCGTAAACGTATTCTCTAAATCTCAGTACATCACGCGAGTAACGGCTTTCCGGTTCGAATGTGGTGATAATGTTTTGACGCAAATCTTCCCACGTAGAAGTAGTCACTAGCCAGTTATCGGCCCACATTTTAGCACGTCCCTTCAAAAGGTTAGTAACTTTCATTCGAATGTCATAATAACTGAGTTGATAGGTGTTTTTAGCACTCACGAACACCCACGTTACCATCAGGGTTGCTAGAGGGTAGAAAGACTTCAGTTATCTTCATCTTTTCTGGTGACCGAGCGCTGAGTCGCTCGCTCATAGAATCCATCATATTGACCATTTCCAAAAAAAATCTTGTGGAATACCTTCGGGAGCTGCGGGCGCGCAACCTTCACGTGATGCAAGTCGTTGGGGATTGCCGGCACATATGGATCGCACGTGCGATCCCACTTCTGATGTCGAAACGGAAACCTCGAGGTTGTTTTTATGGTGAGGCAGCACCACTGTCCCCATTTGACAAGGGTTCAGTCGTGCTACCGTATATTGTTTCCAATGTAATGAAAGAGATCTAAGATCACACACTTTTAATTTTATACCACCATAACTTTATTCTACACTTCTTTTTATAAAAACTCACAAATGATAATCACAAAGAAAAAGGTTTAAGATCACACATTTTTAATTTTATACCACAATAACTTTATTTTACACTTCTTTTTATAAAAACTCACAAATAATAATCACAAAGCTTCACCAGGAAAATAGAACTACACCGACGAGCGCAAGAACTGAAGTGAGTCTATTCCCGCGTTCGTACACTAAGGAAAAGGTAATAACGTCTTAGGTGTGCTCTGATTGGTCGACGATTTGATTAATCAATACTTCACTAAAAAATAACTTTTTATTGAATTCATTAGGTTACTCAAGTAATTTAAATTACCAGGATTAATAATCAAATCGACAATTATTTGTTCTACGATTTAAAACAATATTTGAGTTAAAAGTTGATAATCAAATAAATAGTTGTTTTAATAGGAATTAGTTGTCAATAAAGAGATTTGTAAACCAAAAGAGTTTTAAAGAACTAGCTAGTTACATGTTATGTTTCTGATAAATTGCTGTTATTAAATTGTAATATTAATAATTATACACTGTTGATTATTATAATTTATAACAATTAAAAGACAATGCAAAGTTTAGGCTTCGTCAACAGAAGATGTCCTTGCGGCGACATATATATATATATATATATATATATATATATATATATATATATATATATATATATGAGTTAATTAGTATACATAGAATAATTAAATTTTATATTATTTAACACTTAACATTAGACTGGAAAAAAATAAATAAGGTTAGCAAAAAGCATAATAAAGATAAACTGAAATATTGACAGAAAACATAATGTGATAAAAGACAATACATACAGTTTATGGAAGAGAACTAAAGTTACTATTCCACATAACTATCATCACATATCACTATCCTTTTGGAACGCTGAACTACTTTGTCAGTAGATTTATTACTTCCAGCGACTGCCTTCAGTGCTTGGGTCTCTCTCCTAAAAAATTCAACCTGTCTGAACAGTTTCAAGAGCGGACAGGATAAACTTTTTGAATATTGCGAACTCCATTGACAGTACAGATATATTTGAGGACATAGTTGGACTAGTATTATTTAGGTTCTGCTGAAACTTATTCATACGAGTATTAAATAGTTCTGACATGGCTGACAGTGATCCTTTGAGGGCTTCCATGGTTTTGTGTAGTGTTAGCAAATTAAGGAAAATATATATCAAGGAATCAAGGCTGGTAAGCAGATGATTATTGTTTTACACATTAAAATATCCTAATTTCTATTTTTAAAATATAAATTACGCGATACTGATCAAAACATGTTTTACTTTTTTCACTCCTACCCACGAAAAAAACCTGAATATGAAATTAATATAATAAGAAAATTATATCAAGTTGCTGCTCATTATACTGGTTCAGTTTATCAAAATGAAATTATAACTTGGAAATCATAACAACGACACCATAATTTAGTTTAGTATTTTTGTTATTTAATTTCACAATGATCGCACTTGCATGTAATCACTATTTGATCAAAGTTAATATGTTAAATTAATATGTAGAACCAGAGTGACCGACATAGCCCAACGGATTAGTAAGCTGAAGTGGCAATGGGCCAGCCATATAGCTCGAAGAACCGACAACCGTTGGGGAAAAAAGGTTCTCGAGTGGAAGCCTCGTACCGGTAGACAAAGTGTAGGGCGACCCCCCACTAGATGGAGTGACGACCCGGTAAGACATGCAGGAAGTCGATGGATGCAGGTGGCTAAGGCCGTACTTTGTGGCCTACCTTGGGGGAGGCCTACGGTTCAGCAGTGGACTTGTGAAGAGCTGAATTGGTGATGATTGGCTGCGCAACGACGTATGACGGACTGTCTTGTACCGCAATCATAAGTACTTGTAGTTCCTATATATATATATATATATATATATATATATATATATATATATATATATATATACTCACCGGAACGGAAACTTGGCCAAGCGGTTATCTCGCGATAGCAAAAGCTTTAAGTGTTTCTGACGAATGTTTGTTATGCAAGTATGTCAAAAAATGTTTACCCTCAAGTTCAAGAGGGTAATTCATTATGTTTAAGTGCACCATGACGAATTCTTTAATTTTTAGTTGAATCGGGTCATTTGAGCGACTAAGTTCACATTTTAAATTTGTGTGTTGTGAAAAGTTTACTGATAGGTTATTCAATTATTGTGATCTTGTGTCTTAATTTAATAACTAAAGGTGCTTTAAAGCCAATAAAAATGCCATTAATACCAGCACAAGTTGCACAAGCAGTAGCATTAATTGACCAAGGGCTGACACAGCGTGAAGTTGCTATTGTGCTTAACGTACCACGGTCCTCAATGCAGTATTCACTGAAACGATACCAGGAGACAGGCCGCTACACCCGCAGGCCAGGCAGTGGGGGCGTAAGGTGCACATCGGCCCGGGACGATCGTTTTATTGTTATGGAGATTTTGAGAAACCGCTACCTGACCGCTGTTGAGATACGCCAGCGGCTCCAAATCGCAAGAGGCGTTAATGTTAGTGAGCCTACGGTGAGAAGACGAATGGAGGAAGTGAATTTAAAAGCTCGTAGACCAGCACGAGGTCCAGAACTTCTCAGACAGCACCGAGTATCCCGACTTCAGTTCGCAAGAGAACATGTCAATTGGACCCACGAGCAATGGGCTAGAGTGTTGTTCACAGATGAGTGTCGAATAGCTTTACGTGCTCCAGACGGTCGAGAACGAGTGTGGAGAAAAAGAGGAGAGAGGTTTCTACCCATTACCACCACCCAAACTGTGAGTTTCCATGGAGGCTCAATAATGGTATGGGGAGGTGTAAGTTCCGACGCACGTACAGAGTTGGTCATCGTCGATAATCGGCTTACAGCTACTCGATACATCGAGGAAGTTCTTCAGGAGCACGTAATGCCTTATTCGGGATTCATTGGACACGACCAATTCCTCCTCATGCACGATAATGCACGCCCGCACGTCGCACATTGTGTAGAGGAATATCTGGAAGAGGTTGGAATACAAAAATTACAGTGGCCAGCTCGTAGCTCGGACTTAAATCCAATTGAGCATGTATGGGGTATGCTCAAAAGAAAGATAAAGTCCAGCTCCAAACCGCCACAAACTCTAAATGAGCTCCGAAATGCAGCGCTGGCCGCTTGGGACAGCATACCGCAAGTTGATGTCAGAAATATCATTCAAAGCATGCCAGATCGAATGCAAGCGGTTATCAGGGCTAGAGGAGGAAACACCCGATATTAAAACTGATAGACAATAAAGAAACAGACTTAATTTTTAACTTTGTAGTGTTTTTAAAGTGACAATGGAAAGATGTTAATTTTAGTGAAAACATGTTATATTGAAAAAAAAAATTTCGGTGAAGTAAACATTAAATTTCTATGTTCTAAAACCATTAGAGACACTTATTGAATGCATCTACCCTTAATTTACTGTTAAAAAAACGTTCCAGTGCAAATAATCAGCAAATTCACGAGTGGCCAAGTTTCCGTGCCGGTAAGGTATATATATATATATATATATATATATATATATATATATATATATATATATATATATATATATTATATATATATATATATATATATATATATATATATATATATATATATATATATATATATATATATAATCGGAATCTCGGAAACGGCTCCAACGATTTTCATGTAATTTACTGTCCAGGGAGTTTCGGGGGCAATAAATCGATCTAGCTAGGATTTATTTTTAGAAAATATTTTTAGTTCGTGTTTTCAGGCAATGAAAAACTGCTACAATATAAGAAGTAAATTTTGACACTGTGTTAATGATCGTAATAGCTCAAGTGGATAGCGAGCGGTCGCAAAATCGTAATGCCTTGGTTCGCGTCCCGTCTTAGGTCCTTTTTCATCTTTTTCTTCAAGTTCCCTTCTTTTGTGAGAAAATCTATTATTTCCAGCACTTTTTTTTAGTATTTTATAAAAATACAAAAATTTTAATTAAACTAATTGCACTCATGATTTTTTATTCAAATAACCAGTTCAGATTTTTCTATTATGTCAATAAGATCAAAAATATTATTCATCAGTATGTAATTTGTATCTAAATGTAATTTCAAAAAAAAACCGAGCAAAGCTCGGTCATCCGGGTACTAATTATTTAAAATGCCGTATGTTTTATAAATAAAAGATATTTATTTTTAATCGCCTTTTTTATTAAAAACAACTTCTTCTTTAAATAAATCTTCTTTAAATATATCTTCTTTTTTAAATAAATTATAAATAAATATAGGTGAATAATAAAAATCCGTGACCTTGTAAATGGCCGTTTAAGAATATCCACTACCCCATATCATCCCGTGTATGTTGTAAGAGGCGACAGAGGGAAACAAATCACAAGATGGGCAGCAGCGTCTTCCTAATTATGACTAAAAATAAAATCTGCGTTTGAGAATCCGCTTGCCATGTGTGGCAACTATGGCAGATATCTTCCCTATGAGGCAATCTATGGGGAGGCCTTTGTTCAGCAGTGGACTGTAATAGGCTGTAACGGTAACGTTAATAATAGAAATCTAAATAAAGGACGGAAAACATCGACACAAGGAAAAATCCTTAAAAAAGTTTAACGTTCTGAACATTGATTTATATATTACACTAGATCGGTAATAATCGCGCCAAAGAGTTGCCACTGCACATATGGCCACAGCCATATGCCTAGCTAACGACAGTTC